CCTATGCCTGCTCTGACCAGTGGGCATAACGCCCTCCTCTGCCCTTTCTCCAATAAAAGGTGCCGGATGCTCTGCCCTGGAAAGGTTTCAGTGATGCTCTGATGGCAGAGCTGCACCCCGGGGGGGTGGGGGGATATTTCCCTGGGCTTGGGGGGACCCAGGGGGGAGCACAGGGCCAGGGGGACCAGCGGTCCTCAGTGGGGGCTGAGCCCGGCTCTTCCCACGAGGTGGCATCCTCGGTCCTCGCTCCATCGCCCCGGAGCCCCGGCCGGCCCCGGGGGGGTCCTCGGGGGCCAGGGATGGAGCACCCACTCCGGGCAGCACCTCCCCCGTGGGGTAAGTGGGAGACAGGCTGGGGAACAGGGTGCCTGCGTGAAACGAGTGGGTTTTCTCAGGCGTTATCCCCAGCAAAGAGGCCAAACAGGAGCTTTAACAGAAAAAATCTCACCCCGCAGGGATCGGAGCCGAAGTGGCTCGTTCAAGGTCATTGCGGGGGTTTGTGGTAGAGCTGGGAATTAAATGCATATGTCTCAAGAGCCAGCCTTGTGCTTTTATCACCAGGGAAACAGCATAAACCTCACTGGTGAGAAAGGAAAGAAATATTTTTATTTTTGTTTTTCTTTTTTTCTTTAGGTAAAAAATAAGGCAACAAACCTTTCCCATACAAAACATCAGCTTTTGGTGACATTTATCAGGCGTGTGTCAGAAAACAAGGCAGAACTCTACTAAAAGTATTATCTGAGGCACCTTTGCAGCAGAAGCTCCTTGGGGGCTGATAAAAAACTTTCAGATTCTGAAGATTCAAAAGAAAAGGAAATCAGAAGACAAATCCTGTGAAAACGACGAGAACAGCAGCACTAACCAATTCTCCCTTTTTCTCCTGAAAATGTTCCTTGTGATTTTCAGGGGGAGCAGGAAACACCTCCTCAGCAGGTGGAGTTATGCTGGCTACCAGTGATTTATCTCCCTGGATGAGCTCAGGGCTGAGATCCTCCAACAAAACCTCCTGGGCTCCAGCCCGCCCCGATGGGAATTCCCATTTATCGGTGGAGGCTGGGGATGAGCTTCCAGGAGGGTGGACAGAGCTTGGTGGCTGGGGGGGG